ATGGAGTGTCTGGGCTGCTCACGGCACGCGGACACGTTCGGGACGAATGACTTTAACCGAGTTATTTGTCATTAACTGAACCAATATTTTGACACAAAAACATTACTTAATCCGAATTTTATGTAATCCGATGACGTCGTAATGTGGGGGTCCACTGTATAGAGTTGAAGAACAACCTGAGGACTTGTATTATTTATATTTCTTGTTATGAAGCCAAGGATTCTGTTAGCTTTATTGCGAACACTTATGCACTGTTGTCTTGGTTTCATATTACTGCTAACCAGAACTCCTAAATCCTTATCGTAATCCGTAATATTAAGATCTACATTATTTAGTTTATATGTGGCATGATTATTTTCCTGTCCAACATTTAGAACTTTGCATTTGTTTATATTAAACTGCATCTGCCACTTTCCCAACCACTGCATCAGTCTACTCAAATCATCCTGGAGTGCTCTAATGTCCTCGGAATGAATTGGATGGCCTATTTTGGTTTTATCTGCAAATGTGCTTATGTTGCTATTTATTCCCTCATCTATGTCGTTTATATAAATTGTGAACAAGGGGCCCAACACTGACCCCTGTGGAACTTATTCCTCTGTAAGACAACCTTTTACTGGAAAACAGGCCCCTTCTACATTCTATCGCCTTTCCCTCACTCAACTCGTAAAACTTCCCATAAAACATCACCTGCTTTATTGCAGTACTACCCAGCCTATCATATGCCTTTTTCAACAAGTGGAAACTGACATCCGTCACAAGAAATCCTTTTAATACATTTCCCACAGGGCTGAGCTTTATCATGCATATGATGCACCTCATAAAGCCCAGCCTTGGATGATATCTTGTATTAAAAGTTTTTTCTGCTACCAATGTTTGTACTCTTGTCTAAATATTGCTCATTGTAAACACTTGGTCTAAATATCCCCTACCCTTTCTGTCTTACTCTTGAGACTTTCAGTGGTAATTCTAATGGTCATTGCTTTTATTTAATCAAAATATTGCAGTAATATAAGCCATAGTTTACTAATTTTTGGATCATCCAGTTTAACCTTTTGACTGTTGCAAGTCCATTTCTGAAACTGTCACTCTACATCACAAAATTAAAAAAAAAAAAAAAATCTTATGAAATGATAGAGAATGTTCTCCTGATGGTAATGACACCAAAAGTACTAAATTTGATTGAAAACTTAAGGAATTACGCTCCCACGAAGTTAGCGATCTCAGCAATACATATATACGCATCGGTGATTTCGCCGACTTTGAGCCCTATTTTCAGCCAATTCCATTGTTCCAGTCGACCAAACTCGTAGCTATTTCTTTAGAACTCCATTTTTTCTATCAATTGAGTACAAGTAACTGCCCATTTACTGATTTCAACTACCCAATAAAGTGGTCAAATTGGCAATTTGGCCAGTTTCACGCAAATTAAAAAAAGATGCCAATTTCAAAATAGGGTCCAGAATAAAGAGTGCAGACATTCTTGGCACTAAAATAACATATCCTCTGTTCATTAGTCACGTCTCCAGGCCCCTCTTATATTACTCTTGCTTTCTATATTGATTTTTTATTCACACAAAAAATAGAAGATTTACTGTTATGCAGACTACTGCATTTTTGTAAAAATGGTATAAATAATATCAGTGCACTAAAAGAATATTAGACTCCCCAGTTGACGTGTATGGACGTATGGTGTGATTTGCTTACTCTGGAACATTGGTAAAAATTGAACATTTCTGCTACTTTGAGCTCAATTTCAAGGTCGTTTTCATCGTGAAACTAATCAAAATCATCTCTATTTCTGTAATATGTTTTCCATTCTATCAAATGAGACCAAGAAAACGAGAATAAAACCATAAATACTGTACAAAATACACCTCAAAGTCGGTGTTGTGATCCAAAAACACGATCAGTTTTTTTTTTCTCATGCACTTCATGCTGCAGGATTTTTTTTTATACAGTGCACACTGACCACACAGACCCATTCTCTCAAATGTGGGCCTACCAGCTTTCTCCTGCTTGATTAGAAGCCGCTGAAATTGAGTATACAGTAGGGCCCCACTTATACGGCGGGTTAGGTTCCAGGCTGTCGCCAGAAAGCAGACATCACCGGAAGGCAGAACACCATTTTTTCCATTTATAAATGCATATAAATGCCAGACAACAAGTTTACACTAAATTATATTAAGTTAGTAATAGAACTAGGCATTAAAAACACACAAAGTAAAATACATTCACAGTAAATTCATTACTTATCTTAAAGTATTTGTAATCTTAATGTAGGGAGAGAGGTGAGTAGTACTTATTTGTAGGAAGTCAGGTGCAGGTAGCCCAGGTGTAGGTAGCCCTGGCTCCCCGTCTCATACTTAATATGCGATATTTAAAACATCCCAGAGAGGTAAAATACACATACAGTACACTCATTATTTACCTTAAAATATGTGTAGTCTTAATATAGGAAGAGAGGTGAGTAGTATTTATTTGTAGGAAGTCAGTGTAGGTAGCCGGTAGGTGTAGCCCACGGGCTACACCTACCTGCTACCTACACTGTGGCCCAGAGCCATATTATTAACATCGACATGCCTTGGTAACTGAATTTAATCATTTCTAACAACTACCTTTAGATGCCATCATAAACGAAGGTAGAAGTAATAAATAATTCATGCCGAAAATTGTAAACAAAAGCGGAGTGAGGGGGTGGCTGGGCCGAACGCAGATTCATACACATTTTCTCTGATGGCTGAGCAGAGAAAACGTAATGTTGTCCCTCCACCCAGCTACCACACAGCTCCACAAGTATTATTATCAGAGCACACATAAAATATGCAATAAATGCCAGACAACAAGTTTACACTAACTTATATTAAGTTAGCAATAGAAATATGCATTAAAAACACAATAAAAGGTAAGATACACACAGAGTACACTTATTACTTACCTTAAAATATTAATATTAATGTGTGAGAGGTGAGTGGCAGGGTGTTTATTGAATAAAATCAGAATGTTACACCATCATCCTCTAACTTGGCACTTGAAGCAAGATGCTTACGACTTCTCTTTTTATTACAGCTAACCTTAGATGCCATCTTCAATGAGAGCCAACTAGTTAACGAAAGAGTAAACGAGAGAGAGAACGAGATACAGAGTTGAGACAATGTAAGAACACAAACTGAACAGGTAGTGGACGATCACTTGATCAGGCGAAATAAATGCGTATTAATATGTCTACTTTTAGTTCATTCACATCCATTTGTAAGAGTTTGTAAAACATTTACCTCAATATTTTTTATTATAATAATAATTACCTCACAATACAAACACACATACCATCCGACTTACGACCTGCTCGACTTACGACCACTTGACTTAAGACCGTGTTTTTTATGCCAAATTTCTGGGAAGTAAACAACTGTTTGTGTTGTACACAGTGTTTATCCTAAACCTTACAATATAAAATACAGTACTAACAGCATAAAAAGTAAAGTAAAACATGAAATACCAAAATAAAACAATAAAATAAAGTCATTACAAAAATGCGATGTTGATATTCAGTAGTAAAGTTCGACTTGCGTCCATTTCGACTTGCGCCTGGTTTCTCGGAACGGAACTTGGTCGTAAGTCGGATGGTAGGTGTACTCTTACATTGTGTACAAGTTGTACAAGTTAGTTCAGAATAAACAAACAGCAACACACCATTTTTAGAGTGAATGAAAATAATATTAATAATAATATTATTATTATTATTAATATTAATAATAATAATAGGAGGTTTTGTGGGCAAGGGGCTTGGACTTCCAGCAAGCGTGCGTGAGCGTGTTAGATAGGGGTGAATGGAGACGAATGGTACTTGGGACCTGATGATCTGTTGGAGTGTGAGCAGGGTAATATTTAGTGAAGGGATTCAGGGAAACCGGTTATTTTCATAGTCGGACTTGAGTCCTGGAAATGGGAAGTACAATGCCTGCACTTTAAAGGAGGGGTTTGGGATATTGGCAGTTTGGAGGGATATGTTGTGTATCTTTATATGTGTATGCTTCTAGACTGTTGTATTCTGAGCACCTCTGCAAAAACAGTGATAATGTGCGAGTGTGGTGAAAGTGTTGAATGATGATGAAAGTATTTTCTTTTTGGGGATTTTCTTTCTTTTTTGGGTCACCCTGCCTCGGTGGGAGACGGCCGACTTGTTGAAAAAAAAAAAAAAAAAATTTTTATTATAAAAAGCACTGAACCCACAAAGGTCGTGAATTGCTATATATATAGAGTAAAGGCATACGAAAAGAATATTTTTCTACAGTTATCCCCCAGTTCGACTAGAGAAAACGTAATTCTTCCTACACTACCTACACAGCTGCTTTGTAAACAAGTCTCATATTTACATCAATTTTTATTCTGTGAGTGTATGTATCATGTTTATATGCTATGTAGCTGGTTTCATATATAATTTTGAGGAAAATATCATAGATGGATTAATGAAAATGCCTATATTGATGTAAAATAAGACATTTAGTGTGCCCAAGAGTGATTATTATTACGTAGTATAGTATTGGCATCATGAGTAGAGAGAGACTTAGCAATTTTAATGTGTACCTGCACACCAGCACAGTGTGTAAGTATATTTAGGTACAGGTACACATAAGTATAATTATCAGAGTACATATAAAATATGCAGTAACTTTAAAACACTTGAAATTTTGGAAAGTTTCCTGACATAATAGGTGTGGTCACGGAAAATGTAAACAAACTGGGTGAGGGGTGCCGTATTTGAAAGACTCTTGCCGTATAGCAAATTTTGGTCATAATTTGACATCGCCGTATTAGTGGAATGCCGTAAGGCAAAACGCCGTAAAGTGGGGCCTTACTGTATGTACATCCAAAACACTGGCTCGTAAGACGTATATATACAGCTGAAACAGTCAAATGGTTAATGAAAGCTGCAAATAACAGTACTTCAGCAAAGTGTTTCTTGCATTTTAGTTTAACCCTTGTCTTGTTGCATACAGGGCATCATGTAGCAGACTGTCAAGTGAATCCAGGACACCAACACTAACTAAACCTGTAGGCAGATCATCTAAACTTTCTGTTGGCTCCAGTACACCCACTCCGGGCAGCTCAAGAAGATCCAGCTCAAGTCATGCTAGACTCTCCAACCACAGCCAGACTCCCTCTGTATGTTTTTTAATGAAATTTATTTTGTTTATTTAAAATTGCCAAAGAAATTGTTCAGTTTGATATCACAAGTTAGAGCTTGAAGGCTATGTGATTGGATCATGTCTGTATGTATGGAGTGTGTGTAAATCTGTAGTGGAGGGGAGGAGGGGTAGGGGTCATCCAAGGATAGGATGGAGGGAGGAGGTAAGAGGTTTTGTATGTAAGGGGCTTGGACATGCAGCAGACATGTGTGAGCATATTAGATAGGAGTGAATAGAGATGAATGGTTTCTGGGACCTGACAAGCTGTTGGAGTGTGAACAGGGTAATATTTTATGAAGGGATTCAGGGAAACTAGTTAGTCGGACTTGAGTCTTAGAGGTGGGAAGTACAATGCCTGCACTTTAAAGGAGGGGTTTGGGACATCGGCTGTTTGGAGTGACTTCTAAGCTGTTGTATCTGAGCACCTCTGCAAAGACAGTGATTATGTGTAAGTTTTTTCTCTTTTCTGGGTCATCCTGCTTCGATGGGAGATGGCTGACGTGTTCAGAAAAAAAAAATCTTCCTATGATAAACTGATTGCCAGATTATTGATGTTTTGCTTTATATCAAATTTATTGCTCCAGGAGATCTGTTATCTGACGCTATCAGGAAATTTCAAATATTGGTACAGTTTTGTTACTGACTTTTATTAGTCATAAATGATAATTGTTCTATGTAAGTTTTTAAAAAAACCATACCCCGGCTGGGATTGAACCCGTGGTCAGAGTCTCAAAACTCCAGCCCAAATTTTTTTTTTTTTGCTGCTGCTCGGGTGTTCTGAGAATAATCTTAATCTATTCACTATAGATTATAGAGGTACCTCTGAGATTAAAAATTGAATAAATAAATTTTTCAGACTTCTTGTTGTGATTATATTGGTGTTGATAAACCATACAGTGCAAAGGAAATGTTGAACTTTTACTAGTTTGTTTAGGTAGCTGAGCCTGATATTATCATCATTTCGAACATTATTTAGGTTAATGGTGTATTACTTGCATGTAAAAGCCCTTAATTATGCGGAATATTTTTTGGGAAGATACTCTAGGAGTTAAAAGTAATAAACTGCATATTTGAGTACAGTGGTCCCTCAATAATCGTCTGGCCTGAAAGTCGTCCATTTCGGAAATAGTCCCGTTAATTCGTCTAAACATTAGTTCGCAAATGGTCCATTAAATTGCTAATCGTCCTTCGTCCGGGACACATACTCACGCTCTGAGCTGCCTGGGCCTGCCTTCCCAGCCAGTGTGCCATTGTTTACCAGTGAGCGACGGTCCCCTCACATGCTCCTGCGAAATATTTCATAATATTCCATTGATTTTAGTGCTTGCAAGTGCTAAATAAGCTACCATGGCTCCAAAGAAAGGTTCTAGTGCCAGCCCTTTGGTAAAGAATGTGAGAAACACATAATTTATGAAAAAGTTTGTAGAAAAATACAAAGGTGGTAGTGGAAGCAGTTGTGATAGTGGTTGATGGTGGTAGTGATGGTGGTAGAGGGTTCCTTCTTTAGTGATTCAGCAATTCTACCAACTCCTCCAATGTTGTTGGAGTTATATAGGGCTACAGAAAACACCACCGCCTCAGCTGCTGCTTTACCACAATTATGGACGGCTTACTCTCGGTGGCCCTTATGTACCCAACAACGACAACACAACAACAACAAAACACAACACCTCTCGTGACATACTTAATGATTTATTTTATTCATTCTAGACTACATTCCATGTTATTAATTTTTTTTTTTTTTTTTTCAACAAGTCGGCCGTCTCCCACCGAGGCAGGGTGACCCAAAAAAAAAAGAAAATCCCCAAAAAGAAAATACTTTCATCATCATTCAACACTTTCACCACACTCGCACATTATCAGTGTTTTTGCAGAGGTGCTCAGAATACAACAGTTTAGAAGCATATACGTATAAAGATACACAACATATCCCTCCAAACTGCCAATATCCCAAACCCCTCCTTTAAAGTGCAGGCATTGTACTTCCCATTTCCAGGACTCAAGTCCGACTATATGAAAATAACCGGTTTCCCTGAATCCCTTCACTAAATATTACCCTGCTCTCACTCCAACAGATCGTCAGGTCACAAGTATCATTCGTCTCCATTCACTCCTATCTAACACGCTCATGCACGCTTGCTGGAAGTCCAAGCCCCTCGCCCACAAAACCTCCTTTACCCCCTCTTTCCAACCCTTTCGAGGACGACCCCTACCCCTCCTTCCTTCCCCTATAGATTTATATGCTTTCCCATGTCATTCTACTTAGATCCATTCTCTCTAAATGACCAAACCACCTCACAACCCCTCTTCTGCCCTCTGACTATGCTTTTATTAACTCCACACCTTCTCCTAATTTCCACACTCCGAATTTCTGCATAATATTTACACCACACATTGCCCTTAGACAGGACATCTCCACTGCCTCCAACTGTCTCCTCGCTGCTGCATTTACCACCCAAGCTTCACATCCATATAAGAGTGTTGGTACTACTATACTTTCATACATTCCCTTCTTTGCCTCTATAGATAACATTTTTTGACTCCACATATACCTCAACGCACCACTCACCTTTTTTCCCTCATCAATTCTATGATTAACCTCGTCCTTCATAAATCCATCCGCCGACACGTCAACTCCCAAGTATCTGAAAACATTCACTTCTTCCATACTCCTCCTCCCTAATTTGATATCCAATTTTTCTTTATCTAAATCATTTGATACCCTCATCACCTTACTCTTTTCTATGTTCACTTTCAACTTTCTACCTTTACACACATTCTCAAACTCATCCACTAACCTTTGCAATTTTTCTTTAGAATCTCCCATAAGCACAGTATCATCAGCAAAAAGTAACTGTGTCAATTCCCATTTTGAATTTGATTTCCCATAATTTAATCCCACCCCTCTCCCGAACACCCTAGCATTTACTTCTTTTACAACCCCATCTATAAATATATTAAACAACCATTGTGACATTACACATCACTGTCTAAGACCTACTTTTACCAGGAAGTAGTCTCCCTCTCTTCTACACACCCTAACCTGAGCCTCACTATCCTCATAAAAGCTCTTTACAGCATTTAGTAACTTAACACTTATTCCAAATACTTGCAACATCTGCCACATTGCTCCTCTATCCACTCTATCATATGCCTTTTCTAAATCCATAAATGCAATAAAAACTTCCCTACCTCTATCTAAATACTATTCACATATATGCATCAATGTAAACACTTAATCTACACATCCCCTACCCACTCTGAAACCTCCTTGCTCATCTGCAATCCTACATTCTGTCTTACCTCTAATTCTTTCAATTATGACCCTACCGTACACTTTTCCTGGTATACTCAGTAAACTTATTCCTCTATAATTTTTACAATCTCTTTTGTCCCCTTTCCCTTTATATAAAGGGACTATACATGCTCTCTGCCAATCCCTAGGTACCTTCCCCTCTTTCATACATTTATTAAACAAAAGTACCAACCACTCCAACACTATATCCCCCCTGCTTTTAACATTTCTGTCATGATCCCATCAGTTCCAGCTGCTTTACCCCCTTTCATTCTACGTAATGCCTCGTGTACCTCCTCCACACTTACATTCTGCTCTTCTTCACTCCTAAAAGATGGTATACCTCCCTGGCCTGTGCATGAAATTACCGCCTCCCTTTCATCCTCAACATTTAAAAGTTCCTCAAAATATTCTCGCCATCTACCTAATACCTCCCTCTCCCCATCTGCTAACTCCCCTACTCTGTTTTTAACTGACAAATCCATACTTTCCCTAGGCTTTCTTAACTTGTTTAACTCGCTCCAAAATTTTTTCTTTTTGTCATGAAAATTTCTTGACAGTGCCTCTCCCACTCTATCATCTGCTCTCCTTTTGCACTCTCACCACTCTCTTCACCTTTCTTTTACTCTCCATATACTCTGCTCTTCTTATAACACTTCTGCTTTGTAAAAACCTCTCAAAAGCTACCTTTTTCTCTTTTATCACACCCTTTACTTCATCATTCCACCAATCACTCCTCTTTCCTCCTGCCCCCACCCTCCTATAACCACAAACTTCTGCCCCACATTCTAATACTGCATTTTTAAAACTAAATACGTATGAGTAAATACTTTGCATGGATATATTACAGCAGTAAAAGATGATTGTAAACCATAAATAGGGTATTAACCCTTTCAGGGTCCGTCCCGTAGATCTACGGCTTTACGTTCAGGGTCCAAACCGTAGATCTACGTCATGAGCTCAGCTCACTCTGATAAACTGTGAGTGGTACATTTGGGCCTAGATATGAGAGAATACATCTATGTGGTATGTGTGCACCACATAAAACAGATCCTGCAGCACACTGTGTATAATGAGAGAAAAAAACTGAAATCATGATTTTTCGATTAAAACAGCGACTTTGCAGTGTTTTTTCGTATGTTTTTTATAGTTGTATTTGCGATTTCTTGGTCTCATTTGATAGAATGGAAGTCATATTACAGAAATAGAGATGATTTTGATTGGTTTTAGCACTGGAAATTGGCTTGAAACTGAGCTCAAAGTAGCGGAAATGTTAAATTTTTGCCGATATTCAAGAGTAAACAAACGACCTCACACATCTAATACACGTCAGCTGGTGGGTCTAATATACATTCACAAATATGGTGATGATATTTATACAATTATTACAGTATTGCATAACAGTAAATCTTCTATTTTTTGGTGTGAATAAAAATTCATTATGTGAAAAAAAAATCAAAATGGAATTTATTTGTAAAGCCTCAAAATGTAACTAATGAACAGAGGAAATGTTAGTTTAGTTCCAGGAATACCTACATTGTTTATTCTGGAGCCTATTTTAAAATTGGAATATTTTGAACTTTGTGTTAAATTGGCCAAATTAACAATTTCCGATCACTTTATTTTGTAGTTGAAACAGTTGACTTGAAGATTTCTTGTGCTCAATCGATAGAATAGAAGTCATACTAGTGAAATAGCTAAGAATTTGGTTGATTGGAATAAAGCAATTGGCCTAAAATGGGAGTCAAAGTCGGCAAAATCGCCGATTCGTAAATATCGCTGACACGTCAAAATTCGCGAGAGCATAATTTCGTCAATTTTCCACCAAATTTCGTACTTTTTGTTTTATTACCTTCACAAAAAGATTCTCTACGATTTCATAAGAAAAAATAACAATTTTTTTTTTGAAAATTCTTGGACACTGGGGCACCACTTCAGATTTGGGCCTTGGACCCTGAAAGGGTTAAAGGACTTGTTTGGTTCCAATTAAGTGTTTAATGTATTTTTATCCCAGAATCTTTTGTCTGTGGGTTAAGATTGCTGTGAAAATGAGATCTGTATGAATTTCCTTATTTTCTCAGGTTGGCTTAATTCATTTGACACCAGACATTGTGAGCAGTTTCCCAGGAAAGATCTCCACAAGCCCCAGTCCAGGTGTTGAAGACATATATGGTGGTGCAGAGTCTACAACTGTGTTTGTTGGAGTCAGAGTTCGACCAATCAGCACAAGGTACACTCCTATTTCTGTTTGGCTTTCTTTTGCTCTTTTTTTTTTTTTTTTTTTTTCAACAAGTCGGCCGTCTCCCACCGAGGCAGGGTGACTAATACCCTCTGAAATAATTGTAATATTATAAGTATTCATTATACATAGTCTCTGGAGACCAAAATAATAAAAAAAATACATAAAATAACAATTATAAGTATATTTTTTCAACAAACCGGCCATATCCCACCAAGGCAGGGGGTGACCTAAAAATGATTGTTTAATATATTTATAGATGGGGTTGTAAAAGAAGTAAATGCTAGGGTGTTCGGGAGAGGGGTGGGATTAAATTATGGGGAATTAAATACAAAATGGTAAGTGAGTTACTTTTTGCTGATGATACTGTGCTTATGGGAGATTCTAAAGAAAAATTGCAAAGGTTAGTGGACGAATTTGGGAGTGTGTGTAAAGGTAGAAAGTCGAATGAACATAAAAAAGTGTAAGGTGATGAGAGTATCAAATGATTTAGATAAAGAAAAATTGGACATCAAATTGGGGAGGAGGAGTATGGAAGAAGTGAAAGTTTTCAGATATTTGGGAGTTGACATGTCAGCAGATGGATTTATGAAGGATGAGGTTAATCATAGAATTGATGAAGGAAAAAAGGAGAGTGGTGCATTGAGGTATATGTGGAGGCAAAAAATGTTATCTATGGAGGCAAAAAAGGGAATGTATGAAAGTATAGTAGTACCAACACTCTTATATGGGTGTGAAGCTTGGGTTGTAAATGCTGCAGCAAGGAGGCGGTTGGAGGCAGTGGAGATGTCCTGTCTAAGGGCAATGTGTGATGTAAATATTATGCAGAAAATTCGGAGTGTGGAAATTAGGAGAAGGCGTGGAGTTAATAAAAGTATTAGAGGGCTGAAGAGGGTTTGTTGAGGTGGTTTGGTCGTTTAGAGAGAATGGATCAAAGTAGAAAGACATGGAGAGCGTATATATCTGTAGGGGAAGGAAGGTGGGGTAGGGATCGTCCTCGAAAAGGTTGGAGGGAGGGGGTAAAGGAGGTGTTCTGGGCGAGGAATTTGGACTTCCAGCAAGGGTGCGCGAGTGTGTTAGGAGTGAATGGAGACAAATGGTATTTGGGACCTGACGAGCTGTTGGAGTGTGGGCAGAGTAATATTTAGTGAAGGGATTCAGGTAAACCGGTTATTTTATTTAACCGGACTTGAGTCCTGGAAATGGGAAATACAGTGCCTGCACTCTAAAGGAGGGGTTTGGGATATTGGCAGTTTGGAGGGATATATTGTGTATTTTTATACGTATGTACTTATAAACTGTTGTGTTCTGGGCACCTCTGCAAAAACAGTGATTATGTGTGCGTGAGGTGAAAGTGTTGAATGATGAAAGTATTTTCTTTTTGGGGATTTTCTTTTTGGGTCACCCTGCCTCAGTGGGAGACTGCTGACTTGTTGAAAAAAAAAGTGTATACAGATGCTCCTCACTTAACGACCTACCTGTTTAATGACATCCTAGACTTACAACCGTCTCTGACCAGTCAATATTGTATGCTGTATTCAAATTCAAATTCAAAGTTTATTCTCTATAAAGATTACAATGTTGAATTTACAGAATTTGGTTGTTGTGTGGTTTACATGTAGTTAAATAATGATTACAGAGTGTACCACTAGAACGCCTAAAATGGCTAGGCATTTCGGGCAGACTTAGTTTAATTCTTTATTTTAAAATATTACAAATTATGAGGTAAGTTGGTATTATGGCTAATTGACTAAATACTAGTTTGTGAGTTTAGCAATGTGAATGCTTTTGTTTTGGCACAGTACATAGTTTCAGTATTCGAGTATCATAGGATTCATTATTTTAAGATTGAGATTAATATTTCTGTTTATGGTCAAATGGGTGAGTGAGTGTAAGTGTGAACCACCAGGTGGTATTCGTGTAGTTAATTGATGGGGTTTATCAGGGAGATAAGATGTTTTCTAATGGTAGTTTTGAAGGTGATGAATGTGTCTGCAGTTCTAGAGTTCTCAGGTAGGGCGTTCCAGATTTTAGGGCCTTTGACATACATTGAATTTTTGTAAAGGTTTAGTCGGACATGGGGAATGTCGTAGAGATGTTTGTGTCTGGTGTTATGCCTGTGGGTTCTGTCACAACTATCAAGAAAGCGTTTTAGGTCAAGGTTGATATTGGAGTTTAAGGTCCTGTAGATGTAGATTGCACAGTAGTAAGTGTGGATGTACTGAACAGGGAGTAAGTTTAGATCTATGAAGAGTGGGAGGGTGTGTTGCCAGGGATGGGATTTAGTGATTATTCTTACTGCAGCTTTTTGTTGGGTTATTATTGGCTTTAGGTGTTTTGCTGCAGTTGATCCCCAAGCACAAATAGCATAGGTGAGGTATGGATAAATAAGTGAGTGGTATAGTGTGAGAAGGGCATTTTGCAGCACGTAGTATCGTATCTTGGAGAGGATCCCAACTGTTTTGGATACTTTTTTGGTTATGTGTTGGATATGGGTGCTGAAATTCAGGTTGTCAAGGTATAGGCAGTGCGGCATCTCAGCGTCAGGCATCTATTTCCCCTCTAATCAAGGGAGAGCTAAGTAATGAAGATTTAATAGTTGGAAGCACAGCAGCTCTTAGAAGAAGAGGAAAGAATGGAAGAAGTACAAAAGTAGTTCACTGCGAAGAGGATGGCCCCAAATGTTGAACGGTTCACGAAAGTGGAATGGCAAATAAATGAGCTTTTATAGTGCTATCATGAAATTTATGAAGAAAAAAGAAAATTACAAGGCAGGCTACACTAATGTAATTCTTCTGGATAGCTACACCCAGAACCCCTACCCCTACAAGTCCTGACATTTCTCACCGTCATCTCCCTACCTGTGCCTTCTACAGCTCCTGATAACCCTGCTGATAACTCCGATGATGACTCTCCTCACTTATCAACCAATACGTTTAACCCTTTGAGGGTTTTGGTCGTACTAGTACGTCTTACGCGTAGGGGTTTTTGTCGTACTAGTACGCATAAATTCTAGCGGCCTCAAATCTCACAGGAAAAGGCTGATAAGCCTAGATGTGAGAGAATGGGTCTGTGTGGTGGGTGTGCGCAGTAGGAAAAAAATCTGGCACCCAGTGGTGCATTGTGGGAATGCCATCATTGTACACAATTTCCACCGTGCCTCGCAGTAAGAAGTTCCTCACTCCTCGGGGGAATTTGGGGGACATTTTTGTTCCCCATGACAGTTCTAATACAAAAGGAAGTGACAGTGAAGATGAGTTTCAAGGTTCTGGTGAGGTTTTGACCGAAACTAATGACCTAATATGGGTAATAGTGAGGAAAACCCAGACAACCCACAGCCTTCCACCTCTGGTGCTGGGCCCATCTTGTTCACGTTCAGTTGTACCAGAATCAAAGAGGAAACTCCTATTTTCCAAAATCCCAGACTCAGATGTGAGCATTGGTGATGATAGTGATAGTGATTTGATCTACAAGCTCTTCAAACTTGTTCCAAGAATGGAGGATGAGGAGGAGGCAAGAGGAGGAGGAGGAGGCAAGAGGAGGAGGAGGCAAGAGGGGGGAGGAGGCAAAAAGGAGGAGGAGGAGGCAAGAGGGGGGAGGAGGGGGCAAGGGAGGAGGAGGGGGCAAGAGGAGGAGGAGGAGGCAAGAGGAGGAGGAGGAGGCAAGAGGAGGAGGAGGAGGCAAGAGGAGGAGGAGGAGGCAAGAGGAGGAGGAGGAGGCAAGAGGAGGAGGAGGAGGCAAAGGGAGGAGGAGGAGGCAAGGGGGAGGAGGAGGCAAAAAGGAGGAGGGAGGAGGCAAGAGGAGGGGAGGAGGAGGCAAGAGGAGGAGGAGGAGGGAGGCAAGAGGAGGAGGAGGAGGAGGCAAAAAGGAGGAGGGAAGGAGGAGGCAAGAGGAGGAGGAGGAGGAGGCAAGAGGAGGAGGGAGGAGGCAAGAGGAGGAGGGAGGAGGCAAAAGGGAGGAGGAGGAGGAAGGGGGAGGAGGAGGAGGCAAGAGGAGGAGGGGAGGAGGCAAAAGAGGGAGGAGGAGGAGGAGGCAAGAGGAGGAGGAGGAGGAGGCAAGAGGAGGAGGAGGAGGGGGGCAAGAGGAGGAGGGCAAGAGGAGGAGGGGGGCAAAGAGGAGGAGGAGGAGGAGGCAAGGAGGCAGAGGAGGAGGAGGAGGGAGGCAAGGAGGAGGAGGAGAGGAGGCAAGAGGAGGAGGAGGAGGAGGCAAGAGGAGGAGGAGGAGGAGGCAAGAGGAAGGAGGAGGAGGAGGCAAGAGGAGGAGGAGAGGCGGCAAGAGGAGGAGGAGGCGGCGGCAAGAGGAGGAGGAGGCGGCGGCAAGAGGAGGAGGAGGCGGCGGCAAGAGGAGGAGGCGGCGGCAAGAGGAGGAGGCGGCGGCCCAAGAGGAGGAGGCGGCGGCAAGAGGAGGAGGCGGCGGCAAGAGGAGGAGGCGGCGGCAAGAGGAGGAGGCGGCGGCAAGAGGAGGAGGCGGCGGCAAGAGGAGGAGGAGGCGGCAAGAGGAGGAGGAGGCGGCAAGGGGAAAGGAGGAGGCGGCAAAGGAGGAGGAGGAGGGGCAAGAGGAGGAGGAGGAGGCAAGAGGGGGGAGGAGGAAGAAGAAGAAGAGGAGGAGGAGGAAGAAGAAGAAGAGGGGAGGAGGAAGAAGAAGAGGAGGAGGGGGGAGAAGAAGAGGAGGAGGAGGAAGAAGAAGAGGAGGAGGAGGAAGAGAAGAAGAGGAGGAGGAGGAAGAAAAAGGAGAGGAGGAGGAGGAAGAAGAAGAGGAGGGAGGAGGAGGAGGAAAGAAGAAGAATACGTAATGATAATAATAATAATACATAATAATAATACATAATAATAATAATATGTAATAATAATAATAATAATATGTAATAATAAATGTTCACCCATGACAGTAACAAGATAAGGGGAGATAACATCTGATAAGTGCTGACGTTTGATGAGGGTAAATGAGGGTAGAGCTGATGCCAAAAGATGAGATAAACATCTCCCTCCCTT